TAAGTGTTCCAGTCTCTGCACAACCTCTCCAGCATTTGTGTTTTTTGCCCAATCCTCCTGTTTTATCATGAAGTTTATCACTGAAGTTTTATCAGTAAAGTTGCTACATTACTGAGAATCCTGCCTTGGATTTAGATAGCATCTAAATAAATAAATGTCATCTTAAAAAAAAGCTCTTTACTAAGGCTGCTAACTAGAGGCCTGGGGTCTTTGGTTCCACCTAGTCAGGACTGAAACAGAAAAAAACTGAGAACTAAAAGAAACAAAAGGCTAAAGAAGAATGAAGAAAATGTGGTGCTATACTTTTCAGTCTCCACAAACGTCTGTGGGCTCAGGAATGTGAAAGTGGGCATGTGGCTTTTTCCCTTGGCACTACTAATTTGTTTTCTACATGCACAGGCGAGAAAAAAGACTGGTTTAACTAAGACTCTCCAAGGTAATTTCTTGACTGTCTATCATGCTGTAATACTAGACATCCTCAGAGATCCCGAGGCAGTTAATGCAAGAGCCTCAGAATAAAAGATGTTTAGGAGTGTGCATGGCCATGTCCTCTGCAGACCAACCTGCTAAGGACACACAGGCCCTCTTGTAATTCTTTGTCCAAACAAAGGCCAGTAATGTGAAACTTGCCTCCAAAAATGGAGGATGCTGACAGACCAAAGAAAGAGGCAGGCAACTCCAGTGTGGTGGCAAAGGAGTTTATTAGGGAGACTTACATACAAGGCCAAGTCCTGGGCAGCCACAGGACCAGACAAGATCTCCATACCCCACAGTGGGAGGGCAGAGTTTTTGTAGTGATGGTGGACAGTAGTGGCTACAATCCAGGGGCTTATATAAGAATGACTCAGCGAACTGTAGTGAACTAGTGGACCACATGAAGACGCTCGTGTTTGGCCTCATAAAACCTGTTTCCCCTTCAGTCCACCCTGCAAGGCCGGCTCTTACAATCTGGCACACTTCCTGTCTTGTGCTGTAGTACAAGAGACCCGGTGCCCTCCCCACTGGGAACAGATAGACCTAGGGTTGGCCAGGTACTGTATGGTGCCTGCACATGTGGAAGAGACAGAGAAAGTTACTGTATTCCAAGAACAGAGGAAAGGTTTCTCTGATAAAGAACCAGGAGAGAGAAGCCAACCCAATTCCCAGCCCTCCTTATCAGAGAATGCCCTGGGCCCATGGCCTTTACTTAAGTAGCCTGGATGGGAGGTACAGAGGCAGACCATTCCCCCAACAGTCCACTCCCTGATTCCCATCAAGGAGTCAGAAAAAGCAGCAGTACTAAATTCTGGTATGTCTATCACTTATTTTGGATGTTGAGCTCCATGTTTGTGGTTTGCTGTATAGCTGGTGAATGTTATATCTGTGCGTCATTGGCGGCAGTATTTAATGACAGTTACTAGTAGGACTGTCCTCAGTAGATCGATCAGGACTGCTTGGAGGAGTGATCTCAACTAGCCACCTCAGTTATGGCTTAATTTAAGCCAACTGAATAGATTAAAGGGTTGCATTTGTCTAATTTTATGTATGTATAACATGTCCTGATTCATTTTATGTAAAAACAGCATTTTTTTTAATATGGCACATTATATGAACACTACACATTTTAGTACAAGTAATACAAAACCTCTCTCAGCACAGTTGAACAACGTGTTAACTACTGTCAGACTAGGCTAATTCAGACTTGGTGTAGTCAGTCAATGTATATTGGACTACCTGGTCATATTATATAAGTTTTCTATGTCCAGAGTAACGTTAAACTCGGTCTTAAAAGTACCATTCTCAGAGTTAGACTATTCAGTTTTGTGTTGTTGTCACTTTTATTTATTACATGACCTCTTTAGTACATCAGGTTATATATTCAGTTGGTTTATGAGGTGTCTTCCTTGTTCATAAATTAGTTGGAACTATGTGGGGAGATGACTTGTCATCTCAGTTCAAATGTTGACAGAGCCAACAGTGGTCTGATTGGTAGCTCTAGTAAAAGTCTGTATTATTGGGGCCCATGGATGAGAAGTCTGTCCATCATTGTGAGATAATCTGAGAAGAAAAAGAGACATTACCGATTCTCTTCTCTCCTATTTCCCATGGGACTTGAGGTGAGGATTGCCTGGATATAGCTACCGAGGCTGTCTTAGTCTTGAAGCAGTGATTTATCTGGAACCTACATCTTTTGTCAGGAACAGCTGTATACAAAAGAACCACATTGTATAGAATAGACAGTTTGATCAAACATATGGAAAAAGTCTCCCCAGCCTCACTTCTAAGGAGCACTCTAAGAATGATTTGCTTGTTCTTCTGGCAGTCTATGGTATATTCACCATTCTTCACTAACAGCACAATTCAAATGCAGCAATCCTTTTTCTGTCTTCCTTCTTCATTGTGTAGCTTGCGCATGCATATGAGGCAATTGAAAAGACCATGGCTAAGGTCAGGCGCCCTTAGTCATCAAAGTGACATCTATGCTTTTTAAAACTTTAGAGAGACTTTTTGCAGCAAATATGCCCGATGAAATATGTCATTTCATTTCTTGACTGTTGCTTCCATGGACATTGGTTGCTGGTCCAAGTAGAATGATATTATTGACAACTTCAATTTTTTTCTCCATTTGTCATGATGTTGTTTATCCATCCAGTTGTTTTTTTTTTTAGATCTTTTTTTTTTTACAAGTTGAGAGGGTTT